GCGATCGATATGTTAATACCTTGAAAGCCATGTTCCTCGATTTATTTTTATGAGTGAATATCAATTTGTATTCTGATTTTTGATATCCAACGTGTCCACTTTTATATACTCGACAGAACCGGCGCCCCTCTCGTCTCGCCGCTGTCCCACATCCGGTGGGGGTGTAGACAAAGGTCACCGATTCTGGCAACACCTTTCACACGCACTCTTCGCGACATTGACTTGTGCAACTTTCAAACCGAAACAATTAGTTCATAATGTGCATACAGATATGTTCGGCGATATTTCCCAATTAGTTTCGACGAAAAACGAATGAACAATTTCACACGTCGTCGAATATACGCATCGCGGGGAAAATGTAATTTTGTAATTTTGAAATTTTCACAATTTTATATTAATCAACGTTTAATTTGTTGGCGGAAAACTTTAATTTCGCAAATTAAACAATATTATATTAAATTCCCCGTTTTCGATTCCGGATCAATGCTTGTTTTAAATCGCGCACAACCATTGTATTACAGCCTTAATTGAATCCGGCTTAATTGGCGCACGTTTCTCAAACTCTGAAGGCTCATTATGCCGCACATTCTAAAGGGCGGACGAGGAGGAAAGGTGTTCATTTTATACGAATTAATTTTACCCCCGACGCGATTAATTTGCATCCAACTTCAACGATTTCCAAATTCCACACAACGGAATTCGCAATCGAAGAATGTTGTTATTCTAGCAAACTGATAGTTTGATATGTGTCCAAAATAATGCATCAAAAAAAAAGAAATTTTTAAATTTGGAGGTCTTCTATACATGAATAATGTACATCTTCAAATTATTTCTTGACATAATACAATATTCAAAAAAAAAATAACTGAAAGCAAGGTAAGATTTAAAAATATCGATGTTGCGCCATCTATAATTCAATTATGTAACTAAAATCATGTGCATTACTTTGCTTTCGAAGATAGTAAATAGATTTTTTGTTGCGGAGTGCAATATTAATTCAATTCGATGCGACAATGTGCACTTTGTAGTCGTGTTTGTTATTTATATTTATTAGATAATAAATCGAAGCGTGCAGAGTCGAGGGTAATTGTGTTTAGTCTATGAGTTATTGCATTACACGCGAGGACTCGAAGGCTCCTCCGCATCGATCGAACCCAAAGTGTCTGATGGTATTTATCGCATAGACGACGGAAAGTTCGCTCTCAGACCGCATCAGAATATTCAAAGATATTCAGAGATAATTGATTGATTTTTTTTTATATCAACTCGAACGAAATCAATGATAATATAGATAATATATCGATACATGCTAGATTCCCCAAACATTCAGCTTTCATATGCATCTTTTGGTTTCATTCTATCTATTATAGTTTTCGAGTAAATCAATGAAATGTAAAAACACTGCTTTTTCGAGCATTTTTTATTATTTCTGTAAAATAAGTTTTGAAAATCTATATTTTTTGTGAAAATTCGAAACCTGTTTTGGAGTTGAGATTCAAAAATCGGTTTATTTAAGTCCATTTTTCTATAAACCCTAATGAAGTGATGAAAATAGAGTTTTATGGTTCTTTGAAAATCGGGTCTTTTTTATAAGAAAATTTATATAATTTGAAACAGAGGTTTTTGAGTCTAGACTTAAAATGAAAATAATGATGGATTATTTTAATTGTTTCATTAAAAACATAAAAATATTGACACAAAAATCAAACAAGAAACTGAAGATGTGACTTTGTTAATAAAAAAGAAACTTTTAGTATTACAAGGGATGAAGATTTAATGGTTTAAAGATGATTAAATCCAGCTTGGTAGGAAGTGAGAGAGTTTTTTTTTATTATTTCTGTAAAATAAGTTGTGAAAACCTGTTCTGGAGTTGAGATTCAAAAATCGGTTTATTTAAAGTCCATTTTTCTATAAACCCTAATCAAGTGTTTAAACATTTACTATCTACTTTTTTTTATATAAATTATTTTTGCACGTACCAACTGTATTCGACACGAATGCATTCGATTAATTCAATTTTGCGAATTCGCAAACTGTTGCGCAACGCAGCGATAAACATCTCTCTAAACGGAATCGAGGGTAGAGAGAGAAACGCATTCGTTTTGCATATATTCGCTAAGCGTTTATATTCGGGATTTGCATAAACGTTTGGCTAAATGAATTGGAAGAAAGAGAACAACAAAGGGAGAGAGTGGGCGTTGCACTGTAATTGTTTAGTTTGGAGCGTGCCGTGTCTCCGAGATTTGCATCTGTTTTATAGGGGAACAATGAACAGTAGTAGTAGGTGGATTTTTTTATGATCATTTTCAAATTTTTATTTCGGTATAAATAATTGGGTGTACATTTTTAATGATGGTAGAAAGCTGGGGCGGCGTAGGATAATGGAGCGGAGTAAGACAATGGGGCGGAGTAAGCTACTTTAGCTATTGGGGCGGCAGCGTAATGTACTGGGGCAGCGGCGTAAGCTACTTTAGCGATTGGGGCGGCGTAATGTACTGGGGCAGCTACTTTAGCTACCAAAGGTTCACGGTGGACTACAGCGTTGAATCCGTGGATTGGTCAGCGGTGTATTCTACAGTCCTCTTGAAACCGTCAGCATCAACGAGAGAGTAGCTACCTTGGACGACATCTCCTCACGGGTCTCCTGTTGTTGCTTGTTGTCTCCGGTCAAAGAATCTTGGACATCGTATCCGTAAGAGTATTGTGGATGAGGGTCGTATTCCTCAGCTACCTTAGCTACCACTGGGGCGGCTACTTTAGCTACCAATGGTGTTGAGTAAGCTACCGGGGCGGCGGAGTAGGCCAATGGGGCGCCGATGAGTCCAGCGTTGGCGGCAGCCAAAAGGGTTGCGAAAGCTACGAACTGTTGAACAACAAGATAATTTCGAAATATTGACCACAATAAACATGAGTAGTTACCTTGAAAGCCATTGTCGATGAATTGAGATAATTCGAATTCTGATTGAACTCCCCATTTAGCTCGATGTTATATAGTAAAAGACTTCGGCTCCTACTCTCCCCAAAGAAATTGGAACCGTTTTAGTCGTGAAGGTCGGAATTACTACTAACCTTTCTCCCATCCATCCATATTTCACGCCCGTCCACATAACTCTTAGCTAATAGACGGACGGCTTTCATTACCAGACGAACGGGAATGCACTTGGAATTGCGTTACGCAAATGCCGCATATTAATAAGTAGGCGCTTTCTTTGAACTTAATTTATCAACGAATTTTATTTACTCTTTAACATTCACTAATTAAAATGCATTTTCTTAAATTGTAAACATTAAATTTCATTTAGTATATTGTAAATTGTTTCAGTAAATTCAAATCTAAATTATCATTGAAATTATACTAGAATTAAGTAATCTAAATCTAAAATAATTAGAACTAATTGAATTATAAAACATTTGAACTAATTGTGATTGTTATCATTTGTTTGAATAGAGATTTCATGACTACTACAGTCTTTCAGGACTCACTACGTTCGCCCATCAAAATGTAGAATATATAAACAATAAAACATATTTAGTTTTGTAATTAGTAAACTTTTTCAGTAAATTTTCATGGGCGAGCGAAGCGACGTAATGGAAAAAAAACGAATTACTTTGTAAACATAAACTCATTAAAAAAAACAATACTTTTTGTTTTCTATTTGTAATAATACACACACACACAAAAATGCAACTGTGCAACTTCGGATAGATTTAAACAGTTGTTTCGAGCTGCTGTCAACGTGACATAAAGAAACGTCAGTAAAAGACATAAACGTGACTAATGAAAATGCATTTTCTTAAATTGTAAACATTAAATTTCATATAGTATATTTGAAACTTCTAAATTGTTTCTGTAAATTTCAAATTGAAATTATACTTAATAATTAAACCTAAAGTATTTAGTAGTCTAAGAGAATTAGAACTAATTGAATAATTTGAACTAATTGTGATTGTTATCATTTGTTTGAATAGAAATTTCATGACTACCACAGTCTTTCAGGGCTCACTACGTTCGCCCATCAAAATGTAGAATATATATACAATAAAATATATTTAGTTTTGCAATTAGTAAACTTTATCAGTTAATTTTCATGGGCGAGCGAAGCGACGTAATGGAAAAAACGAATTACTTTGTAAACATAAACTCATTAAAAAAAAAACAATACTTTTTGTTTTCTATTTGGAATATTACACATACAAAAAAAATACAACAGTGCAACTTCGGATAGATTTAAACAGTTGTTTCGAGCTGCTGTCAACGTGACATAAAGAAACGTCAGTAAAACGTGACTAATGAAAATCCTTTCGTTTCGAAACGTTAATTAAAAAAAAATAATAATAAAAGGAACGAATCGTTATTGTTTCATTATCCGCCGGACGATTTTGATTAGTTCCCTCTCGATGTGTTGCATAATGTTTCTATTCCAACAAGCAGAGACATCTATTGCTGTTGTTTAAAATCATCAACAAATTTATGGATTCTAGCTCAATTTAGAAGCATCCAGTTGAAAACGGAAACGGAAACTGGAGAAAACGAATCGATCGAAACGTTTCTGCCAATTTGAGATGAAAACGGTGTAATAATACGAGAAGAGGGTTTCGCAACAACAACAACAACAAACAAGTTACGCAACTTCAATTCCGCTGATAACGGTGACCCGTTTAACGCCGAAGAATTGCAGGTTGAGTAATAAATACGATCGATGACAAAGATCTCATTAGAATTCAAACGTTGTACTATAAACGAGAGAGAGATAGAGAGAATGTGTAAATTTCATTCTGAAATTTTGTACTACAAAATTTATGAATCACATTGCTCGCAATCGCCGTGAATCCCAAAGCAGTCCGAAGAAGTGAACTTGCTTTTACTTGCTTGCGCAACAGTAAACGGCCGCAATCTAATTCCAATTAGAATTTCGTTTATATCATTTTTTTTGTTGTTGTTGTTGTAACCCAAACAATTCGATTTGATGATGCAACGATTCAATAGAAGAGAAGAAACGAAATCCATTTGTGGATGGCTGCAAAAGGAATTTAATAACTATTATTATAATAATAATAAAAGGAAGAGGTTTAAGAGATGAAGCACTGCAGCACCGAAGTGGTTAATTCCGTGGGGCGAAATTTCGTAACAGTTAATTGAAGGATTTACGGTGTAAATAATTAATTAAGTTTTAATGAGTTGCGTGTGGATGCGCATGCATATGCGGCGAGAAAGAGATGTTGGTAATTAGTTGGCCGACTATGGTATTTATGGTGATTCCATTAAGGACATTGTTATGCATTCCCCGCAAAATGCGACTCGCATTTGCACGAGGAAAGATAATAACTGGAGTTAAAAGGTTTAGTTCACATGTACAAATATGTTATATAAAGAGTGTCCCAAAATTAACGATAGATTTGAATGAAATAGAAAACGCAGTTTTTAGTCTTCAAGTTGTGATTTTTTTAATGAATCATAAAATACATAGGATAAGGTTATTTATGAAATTACTCTTTTATCGAAATTTTCCATGACCATTTTGCATAAATGTGGCTGAATTTTGTTCAAATAATTTGAAATTTAAAATAATAAAAAAAAATACTGTATCCTATCAAATAGTTTTTATTGTTTTAACGTTTTCGCACTATTTATATTTGTATACGCGACTGCTTGACTACTTTTAACCGAGTTTGTTCTGATAAGTTTAATTATTATTGTTAAACATTTTAGTCTTTCTTAAGACTTGTATTAGTCTATTAATTAGTGAGTATTGTTAAATTAGAAGGATGGCGATAAAATCCTTGTTAGATTTACTTTTAGTTCTTTATTCCCAAGGTTGTTTTGTAAGTGCCATTGGATATATTTAATTTATTTTAGCTTTTCAGTCTGATTGAAGGAACATTTGCGAGGACTATAAGGTGGGATAAATTTCACTAATTTGTTTTAAGCTTTTTAGAATTTCATTTAGGATTTAAATAAACTGAACAACAAGTAAACTCCAGTAAGTGTATATTTAAAATGTATTGCACAACAGTAAACAAATATAACTATTCAGAAAGGAGATACACTTGTCCAGTTCCGGGATGTATACTCAAAAATACAGATATTGTACTGAAAATACTGCAATATTCTTGCTTCAGATCACTTTCCGTTAGCCATTACAGGGGTTGAATTGAGTAGGGCCTATTCCAACAAAATATCCTTTTTTGTTCCTGACTTTGTTGGTACTTTTACATGCTGAATTGAGTATATTCCATACAAACTTACCCAAGTACTTGTTGATTCATATTTGATTCATTTTGTAATTTCTTCTGCAAAATGGAGAAATTAATTAGTATAGACATATGAAATATCTAAACATTAGCTAATCAGGAAATAACGAATGTAGGGATAAGAATATATTAGTAATTTTTATTTATTTCAATAAATTATTTTTAGATTTAATGAGTAGTAGTAAAATAATTA